TTGTCACATGAGTAAAACTCATTCAAATTATCGATGAGTTGAATTTATTAATTGGCATTCATGATTAGGGCTCAAAGTCGCTGTGAGAAATAAAACTCCTTTGTTTTCATTTGCAGTTTACCCATTGGCTTATTTTATCACGTGACCTTGAACTGGCATATACTTTGGTGGCCTTCGTTAGCGTCGGTTTGAGATTGATTTCATCAGGCAGCAAAGATGGTAGGAAATCTTTAAATATCAGTAAAAATTTAAACCATCGAGTTAATATCTGTAAAGAATTGTTTTGAATACGAGTTTTGGCGTAAACTGTGAGATTTTCAGGTGGAAATTTATCCAGTGTAATGTTTATTTTTAGGCAGGAGGTAAAGCAGGTAAAGATTCCGGAAAAGCGAAGGCCAAGGCAGTTTCTCGTTCGGCTAGGGCAGGATTGCAGGTCTGTACACACACTTGTATATTTTATTCAGATCGTATTCATAACAAAGTTTTAATTGCATTTTATTTTTCTGTCAAATTATCATTAATTTTGCACATTTTTTGCAGTTCCCCGTGGGACGTATTCATAGACATTTGAAAAACAGAACTACAAGTCACGGACGTGTGGGAGCCACAGCTGCAGTCTACAGTGCTGCTATCCTCGAGTATCTTACAGCTGAGGTACGTCCAATGCACGAAATTTCTGTCTTCTTACTAATTTTGTTAACTGTGTCTCTACTGCAATATTTTGGTTTTGGGGTGGCCCACTTTCAAAGGTTTGAAACATTTAAAGCAATCGCCCGAATGTGCTAGGACCAAGTACATAATGTGCATTAAATGTGCATTTATCAGGTTAACTCAGAAAGAGCAGCTGTTTCATTCAATTATTTCAAGAAATTCGAGTTTTATGTCTTTGTTTACACTTTCAGTTTTCGCGGTTAAAATCCAATATGGCGGATGCACTATTATTGTTATGCATTGAGCGCCAAGTTACTCAAGCAGAAACAACTAATAAACAGTTTGAACTTAAATTTATTCTTCCATTTTGATGAGGACCAATATCTGTTGTCAAGATTGCTATGTGTCCACAGGACATTTATTGATGGCGAAATTTTATTTTTCCAAAGTTATTAAACATTACCCAGTAGACTTTGACAGTTAAAGTTTAGTTGTTAGGTTGAATTCAAAAGAAATTATTTTCTATTTGTGAATTCTTTAATGATTTTTAAAATTTTGGAGAATAAAATTTCTACAACAATTGGTATGAGTACTTGGTTTTTATCTAAAAACATGTCAATTTTCTTTTTGTATTTTCATCTTCATATATTTGATGATAAATCTTAGCATTAAAAAAAGAGTAATGCACTGATTGACTTCATTCTCAAAATAGAAGAATTCACACCCCTCAAAAACTGTCTTTAAAATTTGAAATAACATGGGATATTAAGACAGTAAGAAGGGGTCTAAGGTTCCTCCCCTAAGGTAGTTAAGGGGGAAAACTAGGGCAGAGCATACATCTTTATGGGAGGGGGGGATTCCCCTGCCCCAAAGGTTTTAGGGACACCCAGACTAGATTTGAGTTGCTTGTTGACAAACATATTAACAGTATATAGATAGTTTTCGATAGGCCTGAATTTAGCGAAAGTTACCTCCTGTTGGCCGCCATATTGGAGTTCGACTCAGTGATTTTCCCTCTTTGTCTTACCAAGTTTAAGAAAATATAGCAGAAATATTTGGTGGAAAATCTTTATTAAATATTTTTTTTTAAATAAAGGAGGCTTCCAAAAATTTATATACTTCAGAAAAATAATGATTTCTAATTCAAAATAGCAAATATAAGAATTTTAAATTGGTTGAACAATGAAGGAATATGAGCATTTGGACCTCCAGTATGGCGGCCAACGGGAAGTAACTCTTGGTCAATCGAAAACTATCTATATGTATAGTAGGGATGGGTATCGCCAAAAAGTTCGTATCGCGATATATCACAATTTTTTCCTGCAATATCACGATAATATCAGGATATTTTTAAAAGCAGTTTTTACAATGATTTTACATGAAAAGTCATTTTTCTTAAAAAATATGCTAGAAAAACAAAAGTTTACTTTCTTGAAATTTTTATGCATATAAAATCAATTATGTTTGGACGGTAAGATGCCGTTCTTTTCACTTTTTACAACATTTTTTATACTTTCTGTAATTGTAATTTGAAAGATTGAACAAATAAATGAATAATTTCTGGACTTTATAATATGTACCTAAAGACCGGTATTTAGGTCTCCGTATCACGATACGTATCACGCAACAAAAAATCGCGATATACTGGTATACCGATAAAATCGCACATCCTTAATGTGTAATTATTAAGTTGTCAGTGACTCCTATATATTTCAATTTAATACCAAGATTTAAATTCCTTCATTCATATTGAGGCTGCAATTAATCCTAGATTCCAGGAGTGTGTGATGAAGCTTGTTGTAACATTGTATCTTTGAATTTTGTCAGGTGTTGGAGTTGGCAGGTAACGCCAGTAAGGATCTGAAGGTCAAACGTATCACCCCCCGTCACTTGCAGCTAGCCATCAGAGGGGATGAAGAGTTGGACTCCTTAATCAAAGCTACTATTGCTGGTGGTGGTATGTATCTTGTCAGTCTCTCTGCTGAATTACATGTTGCTAAACTATATTTGGGTTGCTCTACTATTTTAAATGAAATCCTGAGTATTGTTTTCTTTCTAATATTAATAGGGTGTTCTGTGTAATAAAATAAATACTAGAACCTAAGGGCTATCAAATTTAAGTCATACGCCAAGTGAAAATTTGTAATCTCTTGAAAACACAACAGAACTTTCAATGGCTGATGTTTTGAATTCTATTTCTTCAGGTGTCATTCCACATATTCACAAGTCACTCATTGGAAAGGGCAAGCAGAAAGCAGCGCAATAATGTGTTCATGTGAAAGATTAAGGGAGCTGAACAAAAGACTCTAGCTGAATGTTGTTTAAAAGTTTATATATATAGAGACTATGACTGTCATATAACGTAGCAGACATTTTTATCCTCATCCTTCATCTCATCCACTATCATCATCTTGGATTTTAGACTATAGTACCAGTGTTTGTGTCAGTTTTATTATTATTTTTCATGTCCATTTATCATTTAAATAAATTTTAAAACCAACTATCTCTTTTAAAGTAATGTGACCAAGAGGATTGCTGTTTGATTGTAGATATAGTTTGAAACGTGCGTTCAAGAATAAATATGAATTACCAAAGTTATCAATGACACACTTTTGTATAACATGATAAAGTTGTTTAATAATGTATTCAAGTGGGTGCTAAATGACTAGTGCTGTAGAAGATTGGACTTGGTGGTAAACTAAGTTTTACTGGCAAGTAAAAATTTTCAATGTAAAGAATTCAGGTGGAATAAAAACTACTAGATTTACTCCTAAGTTGCAGAAGACTGTTTTACAAAAGAACCTAGGACTAAGATCAAAACCAAAAGTTGATTGAAAATTTTACAAAATAAATGATTTTGTGTGAAATTGCTAGTGTAAAAAAATAATCCTATTACATTCCTTTTAAAAGGATAAAAATCTTTTACAAAATGATTATATATAAAAAGTTATGCAGAATCAAACTTTGGTTGTAGTCCTAAGTTTCTTTGTAAAACGGGCCCCAGGTGTTGATCACACAAGTCCTGATGGTATTTAATATATGTTACTGTGATCTGAGGGTCTGATATTCCACATAAAAGTCTTGGTTCTATATTAGCTTAACAAGGATAGCCAAAGATTTGGAACAACCTCTAGTTGCTTAGTGCATACAAAGTTAAAGTTCTACCAGTGCAAACATGCACAGATTGTACTAAAAGAGTTGGGGAGGTAGCACAAAAAACAAGACAGCAGATCAACACAGTCTTGGTAGTTTCATTAAAGAAAATTAAAGGGGGGGATTTTATTGTGAAGGCAAAGAAACAAGAAAATGGAAGATGATACATAGGGCTGGGACATTTATAATGCAAATTTTTACCTAGATAATGTCCCAGCACTAATAACAAATAAACACATTCCTTTGCATAGTTAAATTTAAGTTTATTTATCTCAAATATAGCATCCTGAATTTTACGTAGGCCTAGAAAGGAGGTACATTATTTATTCAATATATAATGGATATTGATAATGTTTCATAATGATTGGAATGTTATTATAAAGGATAAGAAACGTTAAGTATTCAGTAAAATAATTTACATTCAACCTATCAAGAGACATATCCACACTGTATATATAATTATACTGTATATACTGTAGATCTACACTAGTAATAAAAAAAAATAATCTATTAAAACAGTAAGTATCTTCTTGATATACACTACGTAGTATCTAAATCTCTGAAGAAAAAATCAAAATCTATTAAATGTGTAATGCTAGGATACAGAAAAAATAAAATAAATGAGAATAGTATACGCATATGAAAGAAAATACACATTATTTAGATCAAGTACAATGGTGGAGAAATTTTCTTACAGTACCACAACATACGAGACATAAAAATTGCATGTATAAGCAAATACTGCACAAAATTAGAATTCTTATTCATTTTCTGTATTTGTATTGTTTTCTTTGTGATGAATTCATATATCTAAATGCATTTCTATAAATATAAATGTATATCACTCGTTTAAAAATCACAGTCCTTTTTGATAAAGTTTTGCTTCAATCACAGAAAAACATACATTATTTGTATGTATGACATTTATGATGTACATGTAATGAATTTAAAATGTATCATAAGCCATTTAATATAGTTCTGCAAAAAATAACAAAACTGACAGCCAAACTTTATGGTAAAAAAAAGTTTCTTTATAAATTTTATATTAATAATAGGCCTAATACAATACAGTTTACACTAAATTACTACAGTATTTTTATCAAGTGGATGATTTGTGACAAAATACTTAACTCTCCAAAAAAGTGCAACTTCTTCCTTGTGGAAAGAAACTCATTTCAGAAATTAAAAAGAGACAGTAAAAAAAAACATAAATAAACATTCATTTTTCTTTCAAATAATATTCAGAAAAAAAGAGTACATGTAAATAAAACAATTTTTTCACATGAGATTGATAAAGAACAGATTTAACAATTCTTTTTTCTATCAGTAGAATTTCATTTTTTAATGTAGTGTTCAATTAACAGAACACAAATCTCCATGTTCTTAGGAGAAGGCAGTCTTTTGTGGATTTATAAAAGATCATAAAACAAATCTCAAGTTCAAGCACTTCAATTTTTGAGTCCAGTCATTTTAAACACCCAGGCATCCTGACTTGGAATTTTGTCAAATGGTATAACTGGTATCTGGATCACAATGCCACTACCAGTATTAGGTTTCCAGCTAAAGTTGCCTTGGTAACCCAGCATGGTAACCACAGTTGTTGTAGATGTTACGGGGGCCCCTAACACTAGCTGGTTTGCCTTGGGCCAGGTCAGGACTATAGCGTATACAGCAATGCCCTGTGGTGTTTTCTTTGATGTGTACCTGTTTGTAAATCATAATATATGTAAATTAAACAAGAGGCCATGGGCCACATCGCTCACCTGAGAAGCTTTGACCATTCTGTTCTTTACCAGATTTCCCCCTTGTTATACATAATGCATCCCCACCCTACCCCACTGATCATAATTTAGATATTTTGAAATCTACACTACCCCATGATCCTTCCATGGGCACATATGTTTCAGTTTTTTGGCCCAGTGGTTCCTGAGAAGAAGATTTTCAAAGATTTTTCCTATATATTTCTATGTAAAACTTTGATTCCCTATAATGGCCCCGCACTTCCCCCGGGGGTCATGATTCCTACAATTTAGAATTTACACTACCCCAGAATGCTTCCACATAAACTTCACTTTTTCTGGCCCAGTGGTTCTTGAGAAGAAGATTTTCAAAGATTTTTCCTATATAGTTCTATATAAAACTTTGATTCCCCATTGTGGCCCCACCCTTCCCCCGGGGGTCATTATTTGAACAATTTAGAATCTATATTATACCAGGATGCTTCCACATAAGTTTCAGCTTTTCTGGCCCAGTGGTTCTTGAGAAGAAGATTTTCAAAGATTTTTCCTATATATTTCTATGTAAAACTTTGATTCCCTATAATGACCCCGCACTTCCCCCGGGGGTCATTATTTGAATAATTTAGAATCTACACTATACCAGGATGCTTCCACATAAACTTCACTTTTTCTGGCCCAGTGGTTCTTGAGAAGAAGATTTTCAAAGATTTTTCCTATATAGTTCTATGTAAAACTTTGATACCCCATTGTGGCCCCGCCCTTCCCCGGGGGGTCATGATTTGAACAATTTAGAATCTACACTACACCAGGATGCTTCCACATAAGTTTCAGCTTTACTTGCCCAGTGGTTCTTGAGAAGAAGATTTTCAAAGATTTTTTCTATATATTTCTATGTAAAACTTTGATTCCCCATTGTGGCCCCGCCCTTCCCCCGGGGGTCATGTTGTGAACAATTTAGAATCTACACTATACCAGGATGCTTCCACATAAGTTTCAGATTTTCTGGCCCAGTGGTTTTTGAGAAGAAGATTTTCAAAGATTTTTCCTATATATTTCTATGTAAAACTTTGATTCCCTATAATGACCCCGCACTTCCCCCGGGGGTCATTATTTGAATAATTTAGAATCTACACTATACCAGGATGCTTCCACATAAACTTCACTTTTTCTGGCCCAGTGGTTCTTGAGAAGAAGATTTTCAAAGATTTTTCCTATATAGTTCTATGTAAAACTTTGATACCCCATTGTGGCCCCGCCCTTCCCCGGGGGGTCATGATTTGAACAATTTAGAATCTACACTACACCAGGATGCTTCCACATAAGTTTCAGCTTTACTTGCCCAGTGGTTCTTGAGAAGAAGATTTTCAAAGATTTTTTCTATATATTTCTATGTAAAACTTTGATTCCCCATTGTGGCCCCGCCCTTCCCCCGGGGGTCATGTTGTGAACACTTTAGAATCTACACTATACCAGGATGCTTCCACATAAGTTTCAGATTTTCTGGCCCAGTGGTTTTTGAGAAGAAGATTTTCAAAGATTTTTCCTATATATTTCTATATAAAACTTTGATTCCCCATTGTGGCCCCGCCCTTCCCCCGGGGGTCATGATTTGAACAATTTAGAATCTACACTACCCCAGGATGCTTCCACGTAAGTTTCAGCTTTACTGGCCCAGTGGTTCTTGAGAAGAAGATTTTTTAATGACCCAACCCTATTTTTGTCTTTTCTTGATTATCTCCCCTTGCGAGGGGATATGTCCCTTCATTTTAACAATTTAAATTCCCCTTCACCCAAGGATGCTTTGTACCAAGTTTGGTCAAAATTGGCCCAGTGGTTCTTGAGAAGAAGTCGAAAATGTGAAAAGTTTACAGACGGACAGACAGACGGACGGATGGACAGACGGACAGCTGGACCGACGGATGACGGACAAAATGTGATCAGAAAAAGCTCACTTGAG